GAACTTCCGCAGCACCTTTACGGAACTTCCGCAGGTGACCAAGCGGAACTTTTCCAACTTTCTCTGTTCTGCGGAAGTTTCGGACAGTTGTCTGAGTTAGTAAATGGAAGTAATGTGAAAGTATTAGGAATGAACAAATCGCAAAATCAAGCAAGCACATTCACTCACTTGTTGTAAGGTGCTCCCATTTCGTTGATAACCTTCTTGAACGAGTGGAACTTAGAGCCTTCAGCATATATGTTATCCTTAATAAAGAATAACATAAAGAAGTAAAATGTCGCTGCAAATTCCGTTCAATCTCTCACCTGGTAAACCTCGTCGGCCATCAAGAAGAGATTGTGTTTATGAGCAAACTTCACGACTTCTTCCATATTTTGCCTAGAAAGTACCTGTAAAGCCACGAAATCGTTGTTATTATAACAAATAAGATCACCCCACCTGGCCAGTTGGATTGCCTGGATTTATAACGCATAGCACTTTCGTGTCGTATTTTTTGAGACTCTCTTGGTATGCTCGTTCCAATTCACTAACATTGAGACCCCAATTCTTCTCTTCTTCAAGGTAGTATCCGACCTTAACATGAACAAGAACAACTCAGAAAGCTAAACACGGAAAAAATCATTTTCGTACCTGTCCAAGCGCAAATTCTTCGACACTGGCTGAGTATAGTGGGTACTGTGGAATGGGAATCATGATTCCGACTTTCTTGCTCTTCCTATGATCAACAAACAACTTCAAGACATTTCTTATAGACTCAGAAGCGCCACCAGAAAGGACCACGTTCTCGGGATCTGATGGTATTCCTCCATCGCGCCTCTGCAAAATCACGCATTTCAGAAGCAGATTGGCGACTTAGAAGTATCTATCGTTTTCGGATCCCCTGGATGACCCGAATACAAAATTGTGCTCTCCAGTTTCACTAGATATCAAAAGCTCGCTTTCTCGGACGTGGAAAGTGCTGCTTGGGCGGGAAGTGAAACCAACCTTTAGCGGAAGTGGATCGGCAGAATGGACCCCTGTCAAT